CTCCCTGCCGTGGACAGGACCAATGTCATCTACAAGATCCCCTGCAGGGAGTGCGCGAAACACTACATCACACAAACAGGAAGGAAACTAACAACAAGAGTACATGACCACCAACTGGCTACTAAAAGACACGACCAATACTCACTCATCTCAATCCACAGACAAAGAGAACCACGACTTCAACTGGGACAACACCAAGATCCTGGGACAGGCTAGGCAGAAACAAGCACAAGAATTCCTGGAAGCATGGCACTCCTCAAAGCATGCTATTAATAAACACATTGAACTCGACCCCATATACATTCCACTACGGAGGAAACCCGGAAGTGAGGCAATCCATCGCAACGGACCCCAGAGTTTAAAAACCAGGCGGGAAAACACACTGATGCTTCATCAGAGGCTGCACTGAGGATGTTACCAAGCACAGTAAAGAAACATCTGCAGAACAACAAACCAGCTCGGCGAGCCAACCAACTTCAACACCCACAACCCGAGCTACAGATTTACTCCAAAACCTTATAGATATTGTACTTATTTTCTCTCTTCCTTTGGCCCTTTGATTATTTCGCAATCTTGGAATGCTATTAGTGTCTTCCACTATGAAGATAGATGCAATGTATTTGTTCAACTCCTCCATGACCTGGTTCAACATTATTACTTCCCCAGCCTTATCTCTGACAAACCCACATTCACTTTGATTTCTCACCACCTTTTTACACATTTAAAAAAATGCTTGCTGTGTGTCTTGATAATACCTGCAAGCTTACTCTCAAAATTTTATTTTGGTTGCCTTTTGTTGTTTTTTGAAACTTTTCCAATCCTCTGGCTTACTATTAACCTTTGCCACATTGCAAGTTTCTTCTTTCAATTTGATGCTATCCTCAACTTCCCTAATTAACAATGGTTGGCTTGTCTTCATATCAAATCCTTCTTCCTCAGTGGAATGTCTTTGCTACGAGCCATGAATTGTTTGTTTAAGTAAATAAAGAACTCCAGACACTGGAGATCTAAAACAAAGACAAAAATACAGAAATTGAGGAGGCTCCGTAGAGAGATAAGAGAAGCTAATGCTTTGTGTCTGCTGACCCTTCGTCAGAATGGAATTATTTTCTTTTACACCTGCCATAGTTTCTCAACTGTTTGCTTGTCCTCTGTCTACTCCAGCCAGCTCTGCCATCATCCCTTTTTAACCAAGAGTAATTTCACTTAGTGCAGTTGTTTCTGAACCATATTCTTACCTCTAAATTCCACCATGTTATGGTCACTGTTTCCAAGGTGATCTTTTACTCGGGCATCATCTATTAAAGCTGCCTCATTACACATCACCAGTCCAAAACAACCTGATCCCTGGTTGGAACCACAGTACATTGTCCTAGGAAACTGTCCAGAATACCCTCAATGAATCCTTTCGCTACCAATTTCAAGGACCATAACTTTCCCCTTCAGTGGTTGAAAATGCCCTCAACCACATCTGTTTCCCAAACCTCTGCCGTCACATCCCGTCCCCCCCAGTAAAAATAAGGACAGAATCCCCCTTGTCCTCACATATCACCCCACCAAACTTCTGCATCCAGTACATCATTCTCCGCGACTTTCACCACCTACAATCTGACTCCACAACCAAAGATATATTTCCCTCCCCACCCCTATCTGCCTTTCGTAGGGACTGCTCTCTCCGCAACTCCCTCATCCACTCCACACTCCCCATTAGCCTCACCACCCCCAGCACCTTTCCCTGCAACTGCAGGAAGTGCTACACCTGCCCCTACACCTCCCCACCTCCATTCAAGGCCCAAAGTAAACCTTCATATCAGACAGGAGTTCGCCTGTACATCCATCAACTTGGTCTACTGTATCCCATTGATCCCGATATGGCCTCCTCTACATCAGTGAGACCAAGCGTAGACTCGGAGACCATTTCATAGAGCATCTGTGCTCTGTACGTGACAAACGACACCACCTTCCAGTCGCCAACCATTTTAACTCCACTTCCCACTCTCTGGGTGACGTCCATCCTGGGCCTCCTCCAGTGTCACAATGATGCCACACGCAAACTGAAGGAGCAACACCTAATATTCCGCCTCGGGACCCTTCAGCCCGATGGCCTAAACATGGAATTCACCAGTCTTAAAATTTCCCAGCCCTGGCCTCATCCCATATCCAATCGTCGCTCTCATCCACGCCTCCTTGACCTGACAACTTGTCAATCTTCTCTCCCAACTATCCACCCCACCCATCCCTCTGACCAATCCCCACCACTGCATACCTGCATTCACTTATCACCATCCCACCTACCTTCCCCAGCACCACCCCTCCTCTATTTCCCAACTCCCTTACCCCTCCCCATTTCTGAAGAAGGGTCCCAACCCGAAACGTCAACTTTCCTGCTCCTCTGACACTGCCTGGCCTGCTGTGTTCCTCCAGCTCCACAGTGTTGAGTCTACCATTTCATTCTTTACTTGCACTATTCTGTTCCCACACCATGACAATCACCACGGAATTTTGTGGTTATTTCCAGCCTCAATTAATTGCTCATAACCTATTCATTTCTAACTTTGATCCTCTAATAAAAAGGTCAGACTTGAAACTTTGATTGGATTCTCCTTCTACATAGGTTGCTAAATTTGCTATTGCTTATACTTTTATTTTGGAGTTCCAGGATCCATAGAATTTGCTTCCAACTTAAATTATTCACAAATCATTACATAAAATCCATCCCACAACATTAATGATATTCTACCAAGAAATTGTGAAAACGTCTCCTCCTTCCACTGTAGGGCATGATGCACTTCATCAGAACTTCGCTCATAAAATATTGATCTAAAAATTCTGCTTCTCTTTTGTCATCCCAAAGCAGAACTCTTAGCATGGTAGAACTTAAGAATGACTTTTTAGCTCCGTATTTCTCTCCCTCACACAGCCAGAACATTTCCAAGCTCAGATGCCATCTATTAACAATGTTCATGCTAGTCAACTTTGAGTTAAATGACTTACTAGGAGCTCCAATGCAGACAAGAGATTTAGGCACAAAAATGAACAGCCTTCTTTGAGGAAACTTGTGCTTGTAATCTCCAAGGATCATAACTTCTATACGAGGAAACATTTCCATTGCAGGAAGATCCAACTATACCACTCAGGAAATTTGCAAGTACAAAAGGACTGAAATAACAACACGAGAAAATAAGATCCATAGCCTTTTACTGGGCAAAATATGACAACGTGACTCAAAAACAAAATGCCCGCATATTCAATAACCATGTTTAATACAAACTTGAAACAGGTTCCTTTGGTACATCCACAGGATTTGCACATTAAATAAATTTTCTGACTTTAAAGGAGTAATTATCATCTTTACCATTTGGGAGGTAAACCAGCAGGAAGTCATGTGGGTGTATGGAGCTAATCCAACCCCATTTATTTACCATTCAAGTGGAAAACAAAAATTACCAGAAAACGTATCCTGTCTTTTAAAATAAAGTTAGTACTTCAGATTTATAAATTCATCTGTAAAAGCTTTAAATCACTTTTCAAAGGTTTTTTTAAAAAATGCAGAAAGGCATGAACAAAAATGGCAAGCACTTGAAATGCCAATTTAAAAGGTTATTTTCTGCAAGTGAATTGGCTGTCGAGCAATTTGCAAAGACACATTTTAAATCATGTGAACAACATTGAAGTTCACCCATTCTCATTAATGAAGTCAAAATGAAAGTGATACAATTGTCTTCCCCTCCCTATGCTCCCCTTCATTAATATACTTGCTTTGTTCATCTCTCATTGAGTGCAGAGTGACCAAGATATTTTTAGGAGAGAAAATTTAAATTAGAGGGGTGCTGATAATGAGAGATCAAATGCGTTTTCAAGGCTATACATCTAGTTAGGAAAGGTTTGAGTAGATTAAAAGGAAATATTCAACTTTGGATTGCAAGTAAATGATAGTTTCCTCCAGAAACAGCTCGTAGCATTGGATATCCAACACCAAATCATCAGATAGTTTATGCTGCAATCTATGTCAGTTCATGTTTGGCATTTCTTAAAAGCTTAAAACCTTATTAATTTGCATCCGAATGTGCTACTTCAGCACCAAAGCTTTCAATTTTTGAACATGATTCGACAGGTTCTTGAATTCTTTTAATATTGTTGATTTCCATCTTTACATGCTGTACTACTTCTTGATGTTCTTCAGGTTCTTCTGTTGACCCCAAGATCTCAGCATATTTTTCTTTAGACCGTTGCACAATTTCAGAATTGTCTTTCAAATGCCCAGCATCTCCCTGTACATTCAAATCCCCTTCTTCCATTGGCTCCTCAGTTTTCTCAGTAGTCACGCTGTCTGATCCATCATCCTTACTCTTGTCTCTGAAAACCTCTACACCCAACATTCGTAGATAATGAAAACGCTCATTCCTGGCAACAAAGGCACGGATTGAATTCTTTCCCCTCCAGCCACACAACACAATTGGACACTTTGGACCTTCAATGTTTCTGCAAAAATAATTGTGGACAGTAGGTGGGAAGAAAAATAAAAAACATTAAAAAGATTGAAGACTTCATTCAATTAGTTATACATATTTATTTACAGATATTGGCATCACTGGCAAGGCCTGCTTTTACTGCCTATTCCCAACTGCCCTGAAGGTAGTGTGAGCTCTCTTCTGAACTGCCGCAGACCTTTGGTGCTTTTAGGAAGGGAATTCCAGGATTTTGACCCAGTGACAGTGAAGGCATGATTATGTAGTTCCACATTAGGAAGGTGAGAGACTTGGAGGGAAACTTGCAGGTGGCGGTGTTACAATGCATTTACTGCCCTTGACCGTTCTGGTGGTAGAGGTCACATGTGTGGAAGGTGCTGTCAAAGGATCCTTGGTGTGTCACTGCAGTGCATCTTGTATATGGTACACACTGCTGCCACTGTGTGTTAGTGGTGAATGGAGTGAATGTTAAAGGTGGTGGTCGGGGTGCCAATCAAGTAGCCTGTGTCTTGGGTGGAATCAAGCTTCTTGAGTGTTGTTGCAGCTCCACCTATTCAAGGAAGTGCAAAGCATTCCAGCACAATTTCTGCTTATAACTGTCCACCATCTAAAAGGCACAAGGAAACAGAAGCAGAGTTACTCGTTCCAGAGCTCCGAGTCTCTGATCTGTAGCCATAGTACTTTTAATGTTTGTCCAGTTCAGTTTCTAGTCAAAGGCGTGTTGATAGTGGTAGATTCGGCAATGGTAATGCCATTGAATATGATGGAATAATGGTTAGATTCTGTTTTGTTGGAAACGGGTCCGACCTATCAGGCACTTGTGCAGCGTAAATGTTACTTGACATTTATCATCTCTAACCTGGATGTTGTTGAGGTCTTGCTGCATTTGGATAGCTGAAGATAATTAGATCTAGACCACTACCCTAAAGAACACCTGCAGAGATGTCCCGAGCTAAAATGATTGATCTCCAAAAACTAAAACTGCAATCCTTTGTGTTAGGTATGACTCCAACCTAGGGTCAGTTTTCCAATTGATTCACATTGACTCTAGTTTTGCTAGGGCTCCTTGATGAAATACTTGGTGAAACTCTGCCTCAACATTAAGGGCAGTGAGTCACACCTCACTTCAGTAAGTTACTTTTTTGAATTTTTGGAGAGATTGAGGGATTTGGGGAGAAAAAAAACTCAGGCTTATTTTAAAACGGCGTTTTCCCCAAACAAATAGCCTACAATTTTGAACCATGAAAAGGTTATAACCGAAACTGGCAGATTAGATTTGTAGTTTAAGATAACCACTGAAATAGTTAATTGATCTGCCTCCAGCATCATGATTCCATCTTTTTAATGGAATGTATTTATTCTCTATTCTCCAGAAGAATTGTAGAAAATAAATAAGTGGAACAGCAACAAATTACAGAATGGACAGACAATTAAAGACAAGAGTGAGAAGTCAAAAATGCTCCAAACAACCAAGCTGGAGAAATGATTGCTAGCTCATAAAGCAGCCATTATCATAATCACTATTTTCCTCCCACAGTTCATGAAGAAGATTTGTTTGAAATGTCCACTAAGACAGTTCCACAAAGGGAAAAATGGTGTATATCCATACTGAATGAACACAGCGCTCATGCAGAGAACATTATAATATCATGAAAGCTAGACATAAGGGACGAGGAAAAAAATTTTTAAAAATTACGCAAAGATGAACAGCATGGCAAAAAGAGTCTTTACTTTTTAAAAAAGGGATGGATGAATGCACAATACAAAGCAGCTTTAGGGAGACATCCCAGAGACAAGTAGTCAGTGGTGAAAAGACTGACATGACAATGGAAAGAATAGAAAATAAAGAGGTGTGGAGGTTATATACAAGGACAACTGGCTGAACTATCCAATATATAAAACTTACACATTAGGATGGGGAAGACCAGAAAGTCAAACTATTCTGTAGGAGTTACTATTGAAATACTTCAAGGGTAAGATGTGGGACATTGTGCCGGTAAATACCGAGTACTCGGATTTTGGATAACATGAAATTTCAGAGGTAAAGTTTGGGGTGGGGGAGGGATGAATCGACAAACGGTGATGTAACAAAGGGGGACAGCTGGAGAAGACCAGCAATCAGAGAAGTCAAGCATCCTGGTAATTATGCACATAAAGATCTCAGCAACGGAGTGTGATTAGACTTAGAAGCCCTACAGTAGAGAAACAGGCCATTCGGCCCAATGGATCCACACCATCCCTCCAAACAGCATCCCACCCAGCCCCATTCCCCTTCCCTATCCCTGCAACCCTTCATTTCCCATGGTTAATGCATCTAGCTTAAACATCCCTGAACACTATGGGTAATTTAGCATGATCAATACACCTAACCTGCATATCTTTAGACCGTTGGAGGAAACCTGAGCACCCGGCAGAAACCCACACAGACAGAGGGACAATGTGCAAACTCCACACAAACAGTCACCTGAGGGTGGAATTGAACCTAGGTCCCTGACGCTGTGAGGCAGCAGTGCTAACCACTGAGTCACCATGCCACCCCAAATGGTGGTGGGTTGGTGGGGAGAACTAAAACCTTAGGCCAGCAATATATCAAAGTTTAAAGCACTATTGGTAAAGATATATCATTGGAAGGTGGACAACAGACATGGGAAGTGTCAATATGAAATCAGGCTTGTTGGTGCTAAATTAAGTGTAGTACTTTAACTGTGGATATCAGATTTATTTTTGGAATAAATTATTTAAAATAAAACTGGCACATAACTCTAAAGTATAAACTTAATCCATGACTCCCTTATAGCTTAATAAATGAAGGAATGAACGTATGAGTGGTCTAGTGGTTAGCACAGTCAGCCTATAGGTTAGAATTCTGAATTCTATCATGATAGTTTAGAATCTAGTGACTTTGATTTGCAGAATGAACTGACAAAGAAAGCTGCTGGAATAGGCTTTGCACCACAAGGATATATGTTTTTAGACATTAGTTGAAGATTGCACTAGGTTCTGCTGCGATGCCCAAAGTGAACACTGAACAACTTGAAAAGGGCATGTAATGCTACAGTTGTTAAAAGTGCAAGCAAAAATAAATAATCTATTGAAAACTTACGAAGGATCTGGTTCATACTTCAACACAACACTCCCCATACCTGTTTTAATGAAAAAGTAAATACATTAAGTGTTCATTAACTCCATTAGAGTAGTTCTAAGATAATATTTCAATTTCAACTGAACAATTAATAGGCTGACAAATATAAAGCCACTGGTACATTACATATATTGTGATGAGCGTAAGTTACTTTGAAAAGATACAGGTGCTAATTATTAAGATACTTCTATGCACCTTACCCAACTAGAACAAATCACAACATTCAGCAAACCTAAATGGAAAAAATGACTTAAATGCCATACACATTGCTGTGCAATATTTTCGTTGTTATCTTCACTTATATACAATTTAATATCTATAAAGTAATGCACCCAAACCTAGTATAGCTTGGACTATATAATTCCACCAATTCTCATACAAAGAAAGTAAATAAAGATTAATATGGAGGATGTGAAACACGAAGATCAAATAGGCAGTATGCAACATGCACGTGAAAAGACTATCAGCAGATGTTGTCTATATGCAATTTTGTTTTCCAATTTTTTAATTTCAATTTTTGGTGTTTCCTGTTGATTTAAAAAAGGCAGTTTTAAAGCGAATGCTAATAATGCCTACAGACTTTAATCATATTTTGCATAGTAAATCACTTTAGCTGGTTTGAATTTCAAATGCAAACATATTGGGAATTATAAGATGCAGTGAATGATCTTATGATCGAACACCTGGCATTTTTGATGCTTCATGCTAAGTTTCTAAATTTTACTTTTAATATTGTAAGCTGGAACGTATTTTATATTCAAAAGGAATAGACTATTTCTGAACAATGTAAAAAAATTGCAACAACAGGATAACTGTGTGACATTCATACATTTTAAGAAAAATTACAATAGTTTCTTTTGTTATATTAAGGGCTCTTTTCTCAATTAAAAGTGCTAACATAGCAACTTACTCAGTTTCTTTGCTTGTTTCTGTGGTTCACTTGTAAGCTTGCCAATGAATGGATTTTCTTGTGTTAACAGCACCATAACATCTTCAATACAAATCTTAATGATTCTTTCATTAATGTATGGATTTAAAGTATAAATACCCTGAAGAACAAAAGTATACTTTTAGCTGTCTATGTTTTACTTTGAAGAACAAGCATCTAATTTCTAATACTAATACAATACCAATAGTAACATGTACTGATCAGGCTTGTCTGCCAGATAATTTAAGAAAAGCAGACTCTAGAGTATTCCTTTCTTTCTCTAAAAATCAAAGGTTCTCTTTTTGCAAGGTTGTACGTTGTAGTGTTTACATTGAAATCAATTCATGCTTCTAACAGTATGCACATCAGGTTTCTAAGAATGATAAATTTGCGTCATTTAGGATGTATCCACCATTGGAACAACAGAATTCCACAGTCTTTTCCAATCGCCCATGCCAAAAAAATTTAAGAAGAATGACACGGAAATAGCATTAAGCAAGCTGCCCGGTCACGAGTCACTAGCCACAGTGCAGTACCAGGTCTTGGAAGCTAGAAATGGCCAATGGGACTGGTATTCAGGTACTGCTCTTCTCCAGCTCAGCATTTGCTTCGTTCATGCAGTGGTAAATTACAAGAGCTCCTGCAGCAAATATCTTGAATTGATTTCTTTTAAATTAATGCAATTGCTGTTACGAGTAGTTGCAATAAAAGAAAACCGCATCCATCTCCCTAAAAAGCTCAGTTCACAAAAATACAGCCAAAAAATGTTCATTTATTTATTTATAGTCTTAATCATTGCCTGAACTTTCAAGATTTGGACACATTCTTGATGGTACCCAAATTAGCAAAATTTCTTCTTCATTATGAATTTAAAAATGCATCGTTCCCATGGCAAAGCAAGGCCACAGTCCAGATTACATTAGGTTAGGTGTAGGTTACATTATGTACACGTCAACTCTCAATTTCTTTCAAAAAGGAATAATGTACAAACCACAGTCACTTAATGAGTTAACTCTTCAACACCCCAAGTGCAATCACACCCAAACAATTCAACACATCAGCAGCAATCATCAATTAAACTCAAAAAAGTAAGAAGGGCCAAGTCTGTATTCAAGCTGCCAACTACATGGTTTTCCTCAGGTTTGTAATAGAAATTAATGATTCCCTGGCACAGTAACTTTTGCACTGAAAATCTCTTTTCTTTACTGGTTGTTAGGATCCAAACTGAAATTAGTTTTGGCAATCTCAGGCAAAGTCTAAATATATTCAAACCATAACTGCAGAACTGTAAACAGCTGCTTAAAAGTTGTTAACAGATAATGAGGATAATAGAACCACACAATCACAAATACCAAAGAGAATTAGGGGGAGGGGATCCACTTTGGGTACAAATTGGGCTCGCTGAGCTATGTTTTCCACTCACTTATTTTAATGAATGTAGAGGGTAAAATTTACCGTGAACTACAGCAGCCAGGCAGCATGAGAACATAATTTTTATAATAAAAGACCCCAACGCCCCGGTTATACTGTCTGCCACCCTCTTCTGTCAGACAGAAGAGACAAAAGTTTGAATACACATATGAACAAGATTTCAGAACAGCTTCTTCCCCATTGTTATCAGACGTCTCAAATGGTTAATTCCGATCTCTCTCTGCACTGTAACACTATATTTTGCACTCTGTTGTGCCATCCTGGTTCACTTTGTATGGTAAAATCTGCCTGTATAGCACCCAAAACAATACTTTTCACTGTATCTCAGTATATGTGACAACAATAAATCAAACTCAAACTCATTAAAACAAATTGTTGGAGTGTGGTAACTTGGTGTAAGCTAAAAGCATTTATTACAATAAATACAGTTTAGCCCACCACTAGTAAATAACAATATTTCAAATAACTGAAAATGTTGTTTAAACAACTACACAAAATCAGATGATAGTTTATTGGTTTATTCCCATGGAATCATTTAAAAAGTATGTCCCATGTTTATTAAATGCTCTTATAACCAACCATTTTAAATTTAAGAGTCTCTTTACTGACTGTAATTACCAGAAAGTTTCCATGGCGGCTGGTTCCATTCAGTCTTGACTAGCACAGCAAGCATTTCACACAGTGCTTTCTTTTAAGAAAGCTCAAAAGATCACAGAAACCCAATATATGTTAAACTAATTTTGCACTTGAAAAGACCCTAGCAGGAGTGAGAAATTGGGCAGAAAATAAATCAGGAGATGGAAAAGCCATATAAGAAAGGCACTATTACAATAATCATGGGAGATTTTAATATGGAGGTGGCCTTGGAAAATCAGGTTGGGAGCAGATCCCAATAAAAGGAAATTGTGGAATATCTACAAGATGGTTTTGTTGAGCAGTTTGAGGTAGAGCACACTAGGGAACAGATGGTTCTGGATTTGGTGATGTGCAATGAGGCAAACTTGATTAGGGAGCTTAAGGTGATGGAAGCTCTAGGGCAGTAACCATAATATGATAGAATTCACACTGCAGTTTGAGGGGGAGAAGCTGGAATCAAATGTAATAGTGTTACAATTGAGTAAAGACAACCACAAAGACATGAGGGAGGAGCTGACCAGAATTGATTGGAACGGTAGCCAAGAAACTGGAGGAGCAATAATGGCAGTAGTTTCTCTGGATAATTTAGATAATTCTGGGGATTTCCGGATAACTTGGGAGGCACAGCAGAGATTCATCCCAAAAGAAGAAGAAACATACTAATGGGAGGACAAAATAACCATGGCAGAAAAGGCAAGTCTGGGACAGCACAAAAGCAAAAGGCGTACAATGTGAAGTGGGAAGCCAGAGGATTGGGAAGCCTTTAAAAGCCACCCAAGGACAGCTAAAAAAGCAATAAGGAGGAAGATGATGAAATACAAGTGTAAGCTAGGTAGTAATATAAAAGAACATTTAAGAGTTTCTGTGGATATATAACAAAGGTAAAAGAGAGGCAACAGTGGATATTAGATGGCTGGAAAATGAGGCTGGAGAAGTAGTTATGGGGAATTAAGAAATGGCACAGGAACTGAGTAGGTACTTTGCATCAGTATTCACAATGGAAAACACCAGTAGCATACCAGAACAACAACAGCAGCAGGGGGCAGAAGTGACCGTAGTGGCCATCACTAAGGGGAAGGTGCTGGGTAAAATGAAAGGTCTTAAGGTTGATAAATCACCCAGACCAGATGGACTATACCCTAGAGTTCTGAAGGAGCCAGCTGAGGAGATTGTAGAAGCATTGGTGCTGATCTTTCAGGAAGCACCAGAGTCAGGGAGGGTTCCAGAGGACTGGAAAATGGCTAATGTAACACGCCTAGAGAGGCAGAAGACAGGAAATTATAGGCCAATTTGCTTGACCTCGATCACTGCTAAGATTTTAAGAGCCCATCATTAAGGATGAAATTGCTGGGAACTCGGAATTGCATGGTACAGCTGAACCGGCACAGCTTCATCAAGGGGAGGTGATGCCTGACAACTCTTAGAATTCTTTTGAGATGGTACGAAGCAATTTAAACAGAGAACAGCCAGTGAACATGACCTATTTGGATTTCAAGATGGGCTCTGACAAAGTGTCACAAGGACACTGCTAAATAACAGTCCATGGTTGCTGGGGTGGAATGCTCTTCGGAGGGTCAATGCAGACTCAATGGACCGAAATGCCTCTGCACTGCAGGGATTCTGCTACAAGACAAACAAGAAGCAGTCAATCTAATCTTCCTTCAAGCATCCTGATACAAATGATCACAGTTTCTGAATAACCATAGTAATCAATCAATCTCCATCAAATAGCCTGCAACAGATCCAAAAAATATACAAAGGGAAACCCAGTGCTGGAGTGTTTTGGAAATTACAGATTCAAATAATTTTTCCCTCCAAAGTATGCCCCATCTACTGCATGTCATGTCTGAAATACTGCTTCTCAAAATTTTAATGTCTGAAACAAATCCTTCTGATTTGCATTAGTTCCACTTCCAACGACTTCAGCGAGAATCTGTTCCAAGCCATTCACTCATTTGGGAGGCAAGGGTTTAAAATAACACATCCTGAAGTTTAAAAAACATTAATTCCAATTCAGGGTAACTCGCTGCGTCAGAGGGAAACAATTCCATCTCTCGGCTCACAGGTGGTGCTCTAAAAACATGGGATCAAGCCCATCTTTTTGATTGTTTACCTACCAGATTTCCAAAAGCCTGGGAAGCCCGACTTACAGTAGTTTGAAAAAGTAAACCTCATTTTATTTTAACAAGAACCTTCTTAAAAAAAAGTTTCAGCGACTGTCCTTGCTCCATGGTAAGATGGGTTAATCCAAATAAAAACAAAATACTGCAGATGATGTTGGAAATTCAAAATAAAAGCAGAAATTACTGGAGAACTCAGCAGCTTAAATCCGAGATTACTTTGTTTCTCACTCCACAGATGCTACTGAACTTGCTAGAATAGTTAACTCTCCCTCCCACAGCTATCATGGTTATGATAGTTATCTATTGTCCTACTTATCTCATACCACCACAAATCAAGGTATTTCCAGAAGGTGAATTTGCAATTTAGTACAACTACCCTTAGAATGCAAAGCTTCATTCGCTGCTAGATTCCTCATGTGTCAGTAAAAGGGACAAAGGTTTGACAATATTGGGTGCAGGACCCACGGATGGCAGTGATGATTTAGTGACTTCTAAAGGGATTGTTCCAAATAATTAATGTTATATTTAATGATGGAATCCACAACACCCATCTCTCTTTCTCTGTCCCACGTGCAAGAAAGTCTAAACATTTTATGATTTTCCACCAAGATCCCACCTGGAGTACTGTGTTGGTATGGACACCAATTCTCAGGAAAACTACACAGGGCAAGAGGACAGCCCACAGTCGCCAAAATAACACCTGAATTTTAGAAGGTAAATTAAGACTGCTTGCATAAGCTTGATTTTGAGGGGTCTTGTGGTGCAGTGGTAGTGTCCCTACAGCTGGACCAAAAGGTCAAGGTTCAAAACCCATCTGTCGTAAAAAGGTGTGCTGTAACATGCTGTAAACTGGATGATTGAGAGTCATTATTAAGCTTGATTTTACCTTGTGGAGTTTAGCAAGTTGTAGAGTGATGTGACTAAAGTTCTTGAAAATGACAGAAGTGACAAATGATTAATTTCAGTAATTACTGCCCTGGTAGATAATCCAGAAAAAGGAAATTTTCTTAAAAATTACAGCTTGACCATTAGAGAGCACTTTTTTCAGAAAATCAGATGCAGAGATTAAAAAAAACACTTCCTATCAAGAGGTTGTGGATGATAAAACGTCAAATGAAAGTCACAAACTCAAGATTGATAAACTTTTAATCAACTGAGTGCAAAGGAAATGGAAATATAAAGGATAACCAGATCTGTGGCATGGATCAGCCATAATCCAATCAAATGATGCTACAGGCTGGATATACTGATAAGATGATTGTTATTCTTATAAATCATTGCTGACAATTGCAGCTATCAAAATGCAACTAAATTTGTTACATGATTCAAGAATTTCAATTAAGATATTAGAAAATCATAAATGTTAAATTCATAGTCACAGTGACAAGTGGTAACCAGGAGTGAATTAAAGGCTGATTTTTTTATTCACTTTATCTGGCAGCTGTCCTTACACTAATACCAACTGCGAATATCACAATCAATCATTGTCACAAATACCTGGTTTCAAAGCCAACTAACTTATTGTTTGAAAAATGAACTCAACTAAGGTTAAGGGAAGTTTTGAGTCTTTTAATGTAATGCACTCTCTGAAGCTTGTATTACACAAAATGGTTTGAGGTGCATAACTGGAACTATAATTTTCTCATGTACACACAAAGTCAAATGGAATTTTGCCTAAACAAAGTTTTTAAAATGTGCATGTTAGACATTTGAATAATTCAGAAGTAACAAGAAAAATATTTCAACAGTTCTGCTGCATCTTGCGATAGGGTATACTGAATACACAGACTGTACAATTTAAATTTTCATTGCACCAACATGGTTAAGTCCAGGTTTTTGGATGAGGGCTTGAAAAGCTAAAACTTTGAAGACAATTCAGTGAATAAACAATCTATTTTCATGAAATATTACATTCTAACTTCTTACTTTAAAAAAAGTGACAATTTTTTTCCAGAAAGTATACTGATGATTTTTGGGGAAACTGTCAGTCAGAATCAGACAAAAACTTCACAGAAATATTTAGTATTACACTACAGATGAGATTAAAAGAATGATCACAGTGCCACTCACAGACATTACAGGTAATTGCGAAGCATTAGAAATATTCCCCAAATGCTGTTTACATAGGTTAAGTTACAAGATCGAATATCTGAATGCGCCCGCTTTGGTAAAGACCTATACGTTTTTTAAAATGAAGTCAACAATCATTTAGTTTTTTGTTAGTTGAAATCTTAATTTATGTAATGAAAGACGCACTGCAAAGTTAACTGACTAATTGCCAAAAGGAGGGGAAAGTTATTTCTGTTCAAACCTTAACAAAAAAGTTATTATACTACCACAGATAATCTGCAAATAACAAAGATATCATTACCTCTTGCGCTAACCTGAAGGCACAGCCAAATTCTTCCCCATCATTATTGCGACTCAGAACTTTAATTCCCATGTTAATCACCTAGGAGAATAAAACAGCTGTATCACAGCAGCCTCCAAATAATAAAGATTTTAAAAACATTCAATGTCTTCAAAATAAAATGCCAAAGTATAATTTGTAAATCATCAGAATTTCAAGGGAGATAACAAGATAATAAGTATTGAAGAGTCGGGTTTTAACTGTTTTTAAATCTCTAAAAGAGATAGTGGGAACAAGATGAGACAGTGAACACTGGTGAGCAGATTCAGCTGAAGACACTGCCCTCAACAACAGGTGGAAAAGGAATTTGGAAGAGGGGAGAGAAGAGAAAGAAGGCCGAAATTAAATAAGTGGAACATCTGGAAGAGATTCATTGGTTGGAAAAAGGTGAAGAGATAGGATGAAGGAAGGAAGGAAGGAAGGGAGTTAGAGGGTATAAATGTTTAATTCGACACAGGTAGGCATGAACACTTAGAACATTTGGGCACATACAAAAATGACCAAGGAAGAGACAGTTTGAGTGAAAGGTTTTACGTTTAACATGTAAACATTCATATATTGTTAAACTCCAAATATCAAAGAATAGGTGGTATTCGACCACGACAGCCCAGTTACTTGGGTTTTCAGATCTCATCATGGTGAACAATTAATTAGAATTGTAAAATAATTCAGGAACCACTTTTCTCATGAACCATATAACCATGGTGACATGAACAGCTCAGTTTTGCTAGTCATATTTCCCCCTCCTTAGCATTCCTTAAAAAAAATCTGTTATACCATTACTAATGTGTGAATAACTAATTAAGGGAGGGTTCTCGTGAGCTGAAAATAGGCTTTAAAAGCAAATCCGTTGACAAACATATCTCAAGCCCGAAGACTGAACCAGAGTGCCTTTCACAGCCCAAGTCAATCTTTAACAAGTAAATGCATGACAAATTAGGAAGAGACTTCCGCAAATGAAAATTTTTAATGACTCCAAAAGCCTACCAATATAAGCTAGAAATTTTTTCAGAAAAGCAAGAGGAAACTGTCAACAACCTTCATTCGTTCACTGTTATGGAGAAGCACATTTCTTAGTTCCTTTGAAACCATGTAGAGGTGACGCTTCTTTCCCTCATGCGTTCTAGTGAGGACATTCGACTTTGGAAAAGATGGATCCAATTGATAAAATTTCCTATTAAAAATTGTTTTAGTATTTTGATAAAATGTCTCATATTTTTCTTACACAGCAGACAATTTAACAGGACATCCGTACCAACAACATAGACAAATACACCCAGTAAAATCTGTAGAGTTCAGTGTTTGAAATACTTGAGTTTAATGGGCATGTTCGTAACAAAAATATTTATATTTAATGTTTCAATTATTCTTCAGTTTGATTAGACTTGTATATTGTGTAGCACACAGCCTTGATAAGATTAATCAGCAAGTTGGACATTCCAATCCAGAAGCTGTTCCAAAGTTTAACACAAGATGTATTACTGAAATAATTGGCATTTATCCGCACTGAAGATTTGGACAACTGCACTGCTGTGACTATTTTTTGCAAACACCATTAGTCTAACACAGCAAGGAACAGGTTAGCTTCAACTACCAAAGGAATACAGGTGACTTGTAGATGACATAGCAATTCGAGAAGGAAAATGAACTGCAAGGTGTTGCCGAATAGAAACAAGTTAAATCATCAAATCTAAATTTACAGACAAACATTACACACAGATAAAAGTTCTTTCCAATGCCTGTACTTCCAGTTCTCATATTTCCTAATTTTGAATTGCTTTGTGATTATTCCATGATATTTAATGGACAATATTTGTGCCATTTTAAGAACAGTTTGATTCTAATAAGTAGGATATTCAGAACCTCAACTTATTTTGTCATTCGACTGGATTATAGGTGATCTTTATTTGAATTCCATTTACCTGCCTTTGGTACTCATTTGTTTTTATGTTAAATGTCCATTGTCTTTTGAAGGGAAAAACGCAAGTTCCAGATTTCCACTAACAGCTGTGAGATCAAGTGCTTCTCAATTTCACTCCTGAATGGCCGAGCTCAAATTTTAAGATTATGCCCATATATTTACCACTCAGTTTCACTTTGAACTCCAAATCCCAGCTATTCCACAACCAACTGTTTTGATAGTAAATATATACAAACATACTTTAATATCATTTTTCAGCTTTGTATGTAAATAAGAGTTTCTGAGAACATTTGCATGTTAAAACTTATACAGCCACTGAGTAGTTGAATAGGAAGACGGGTCAGATCAACGCATGGCTAAAGGGGATAGGATAGGGGGCAGGGCTATTGATTTTTGATATGATATGCCAATCAGACATACAAGGAATGCTGAGTCAGTCCAGCAGGCGAAGATATGGGCAGGACAGCGTGCATGGGTGGTCCACAAAGCTAAACTGTATCTACTTTTAATGAAGGAGCATGAATGGTATAGTGAATGAACTTAGAGCATTGATAAGCATGTGGGAATGTGATATTGTTGCAATCACTGAAACAAGGCTGAAGGCAGGACAGGACTGGGAGTGCAACATTCCCAGGTACACAAGTTTCACATGCAATTGCAGGGGCGAGAGGTTACTTTTGGGATTGGAAGCCTGTGACCAGTGGTTTACCACAGAGATCGGTGCTGGCACCCTTGCGGTTTGTTATATACATTAACGACTTGGAAGCCAATGTAGAAGGTTTAATTAATAAATTATAGATCAGACAGAAATTGTTGTTGTTCATGATAGTCACAAAGATGGTCTCAGGCTGCACTCTGATACTGATCAGCCGGTTGATTGGGCAAAGCAATGGTAACTGGAATTTAATCCTGTTGAGTGTGAGGTGATGCATTTTGGGGAGTTCAAAAAGGGAAGGATATAAACAATGAACAGTAGATTCCTAGAGATTTGAAGAAAGGGACCTTGGTGTACAAGTCCATAGATCGGTGAAGGTGTCAGCACAGGTAGACAGGGTAGAGAGGAAGGCATATGGGATGTTGGTCTTCATTAGCCAGGCCATAGAATATAGGAGCAAGGAAGTCTTGTTACAACTTTATAAAACATTAGTTAGGCCACAGGTGAAGTACTGTGTGCAGTTCTACTCGCCACACTGTCATTGGACATGACGGCAGTGGACAGGGTGCAGACGAAATTGCCAAGATTCTGCCTGGAATGAAAAGTCTCAGTTATGGGGACAGATTGCATAGACTGTTTATTTTCCTTAGAACAGAGGCAGCTGAGGGAGGATCTGATTATGGTATACAAAATTATGAGAGGCAGATACAGAGTCAACTGTGAGAATCATTTCCTCTAAAACCAGAGAGCGTAAGTTTAAGTGGTTTAAAGAAGATCTGAGAAAAAATTATTTCACCCAGAGGGTGGTAGAAATATGGAACATGCTGCCTGAGAGGGTGGTGGAAGCAGGTACTCTTGTAGTATTTAAGAAACATCTGGATGAGCATTTGCAATACCAAGGCATATCGGCTATGGACCAAATGCAGGTAAATAGGATTGGTGTAATTTGGTATTATGTCAGGTGGCATATATTAGGTGAGCCAAAGGGCCTTTTCTTATACTTAATGAATCTGTATATTGTCTCAACAGATGTAACTGGGGTTTTCATGATAGCCAGACAGCTAGAAATTAAAGTTTCTGATGTGCCCCATGAATTAATTAAGCAAATTGATACAGCCTCAGTCCTGGAATCCAAATTCTGAATCTAAGGTTATCCTAAATATTTTACCTCAAACTGTAGGGCATCCTCTACACCAGCTTGCACCTTTCCCATCACAGTTCACAACAGCCACCCTGCATACTAACCATAACCTATCTCCAAACTATGCACTTCCTTTTATCAACTGGTGTGAAAATATCCATCATATTCACCATCAAGCACCTTATTCCAGTTTTAGATTTCCATCCACCATACCCGCCGCCAGCCCTTATGCCTCTCAATCATCTAACTATTCACTATCCTACTACACATATGGAGGAGGCAGTGGTATAGTTTTGATGCCAATGGACAAGTAATCTAGAGACCCAGGCTAATGCTTTGGAGACATGGGTTTGAACCACACCAGGGCAGATGGTGAAATTTGAATTCAATGTTAAAAAAAATTAGTGAAAAGCTAGCTTAATGTTAATAATATAGTCTCTTGTATGACAATTATATCTGTTGTCCTTGCATTTTCTGGTCTACATATGACTTCAAATCCACCTTACGGAGGTTGAATCTTAACTGCCTCATTGGAATGACGAACAATCCACTCAATTCACGGGGCAATGAGGGGTATGACCCAGGTAGTGACATCCATATCCCATTAATGAAATATAAAATTATTTAAAATAATAAAGAAATCAGACTCCTATGGACTGAATCTCTGGCAATGCTGCTCATGGATTAGCTACCTAATGATATTCCATTTGGTAAATATTTTCACATTTGAATTTATCCCAAATTGACTTTGTATTAATTCTAAGTGGCTATTGTCATTACTCTTCATGGAAGATAGTTCAAAAACACAGTATGACTCAAACCAATAGAATTTAATTGTTGGTAACTATTAAATCTTTCATTTCCATTCAGACATGAAAACAGAAAGAAGTCAAAAATTCCTTACTGAATTGGTAGAAATATTGGATCATCTTCACTCAAGAAGACAAAGGGGTCTTCTTTGAACCCAAACAGTTTCATTTTCTTTGGTGGTGGCGGACTAAAGACAATTAAAAAGAAGGAATTTTCACAAGAATTATTTTATGGCAAAATTTACAAGAAATTGCAGAAAAGAAACATCCCAATTCAACTCAAAGTATTCCTCTACTTTTCACTTGTATCAGCAAATAAAATTGCTTTATGCAGACTATTGTCAGCATTTAAAAATACTTGAAGAGTTAAAATTCTTTCAATTTACCAACTAAGACTCTGATAGAGGAAAGTCAGGAAATTACATGGGCATTACCTTGACTTGATAAATACACTGAAGAAGAATGGGCACTAAAATAAGAGTTTGAAAAAGCAGTCAATCACAACCATGGAAGTTGAAAGCCAACAGGTGATTGCGCCAGATTTTAAGAAGGGCAAAGGAAAGCTAAAACATGTACATTTTACAGTTTCCCTGGATCACAACTCAAACTTTAATTGAGGTAGTTAACTTACACAATGCTAATACAATTAATGCCTTGAAACAAAACATTCCAAAGCAACTGAAGGAATTGAATCAGTTTGTTAGCCAAGGGTTAAATTTTCAACCTTACTATAAAAGACAAGGAGAATTATAGATGTATAGTGCAAAGGCAGGTTAGGAGTATAGGGGTTGCACTATCAGCAAGTGACTGTCTTGGGTAAAATGCAGGCATGGCTTATGAAAACTGTGGGGAAACAGAGTCAATAATGTAAGACACATGGGCAAAGAAATGTGGGTATTGCAACACATATATTGGAATATTTTTGTATAAAGCTTGGAGTTGTCTGTAACTCTTCACAAATAGTTTTGCACTTCACATGATAAAACTGCCTTTCCTTGTGTATGCATGAAATAAATGCTTGTAACATGATTCTTGGCTCTCATCAATTTGTCAAGCTGTCCGATAACAGGAATACACTTCAGATTTTCCTTTTCCAACATGAAAGTTTCAACCCGGTCTCCCTCAGTTACAGGAGTTATACTTAAGCTCATCAGACAGTTCACCAGCTCAAATCTACAGTATGCAGTCCCTCAACGTGAATCGCTGCTGTAGCCCTTGAAAAACTAAGACACCATACCACTTCTGCACCAAGCAGTAAAAAAACATAAAAGAGGCAAATTACACTGGAATAAAATGTTTCATGAGCTCCACAAATTATGGTTCAACTTACCAACAAATACCGTCTTTGCTGGCTGATGTTTCTTCACCTTCTTCGTTTTTTTTAATTTCTTCAATTTCTGCAGATTTCTCATCAGTGCCTTTAATTAGGGAATCAGCCACCACTCCTTTATGTCTCAGCTGCCAAAAGATACAGATTAAAACATTTACTCAATTACCTCAAGAAAGGTTGGTCCTCAATCCCCACTCATTTTCAGTCTCTCCCATCAGTATTGTGTTTCAGATTGGGAAACCATGAACAGACTCCAGCCATTTTAAGGACTTGGTATCTTCAAACTTATATGTTATCCTTTCATTGTTTCCAAAAAAATCAGTGTCTGGGATAATTAGAATACATATTACAAGAGGCAGAAGGGTGACTGTGGCTGAAAGACTGTTGGGCCCCATCAACCCAAACCTTGAAAGGGATTTTCTTGGATCAGTGGTTTACAGGGGCTGGAAGATATGAAAATCCATTTTTAGATGATTCCATAATTTTCCCAGTACTTTAGTGGACTGAATTCATTTTAATTCCATGCAATCTTTTTTGAAAACACAAATCATGCATCCTACATATGTACAGCTTCAATTAGAGCCCATTAGCCAGTCTGATATAATGCTAGACATAGATTCACTGAAGCCTTTAATTGGCAGATATGAAACTGATCAGAATATGTTTAAGAGTTCAATTTGCAAGATATCCAGGCAATTAGCAACCAAGCTGTGCCAGTGGGGCTAACGTCCTTATCTGTGTGGTATCAAAAACAGTTTGTAGAGCAGAGATAAAGGACATTATTGCAATAAAGTGTACATAACAGATTTAATACACAGATGTCAGATACAAAACAAATCCTCGTTATAAAAGAGGATTAATTTGCTCTTAAATAGGACACAACATAATGATTAATCATATCCTTTACTTTAACATTCCTCACCCAGCTTCAAAGCAAAACAAAACTTCACAAAGCATAACCTTCAAGGATAAACTGAACACCACCACACAGACAGTATAACAAAAATGAGGACAATAATTTCAGGCACCTTAGTGATGCTTACATCATCACGGGCTGGAGAGAGCGAGAGCGCGAGAGGAGGGACAGGGGGAAGACAGAAGAGTGAAGGAGGTAATTAGTAAAAAGAAGTCCTGTAAATCTTATTGGAATTCTGTTCAACTGGCAATAACCTGGGCACTCTCATGCTTTCTCAATCAAATATGTAATGCAGAGGCGGGAATACTGCCCGAGTACCATTGTCTTGCTAAATGCCTGGAACAGTAAAAGCCAAGAACAAAAATAAAGCATGTAGAACATTTTAAGTACAAAGGCAATTATTCAAATATTTCAAACAAGCACACTATCATACCTTTGACTCACACTTGTTCCAAGGCATTGGAGCCTTTTTCTCCAAAACAGCAACAAAGAATCCTCCAGTATTTTGATGGTGAGGAAGCACCCTAATGCTGTAAATAAATTCAGTTGTTATAGAAGGTAAGTGACACCGTAACTGACTCATCTGGAAGAAAAGTACAATTATCATACAAGTTAAATGTAGTATTGTCAAATATACATAACCTTGTCAAAAGCAGGCTTGCAATTTTATTCTCTTTGCAACCAACATGCCAATAAGTATGGAAAGGAATCAGAAGTTATGATACTTTCATGCAGGTAAAAGGGTGCTTATTATCCTCTTAATTATCAGTATCTTGCAATACACTAGGCCTGACCAAAATACGAAATCCAAGCAATTTGCCAAGATAGACAAGGACTGCACACCAGTTCAAGGTGGGAACTCACCACCAAATGCTGGCCCAGTGACTGACGTGCACATTGAGAAATAAATTACCCTCCAAAAAATTAAGATTATAGTTTATGCAATTTGAACATAGACTACAGTTAAAAACTAAGCTGCATGCTTAAAAGTTTACACAAACATGTTTCATCACCCAGTTATGGGAAAGTTATTAGGAAGACTTCTAAGGCACAGGAGTTATCTGCACTTGGAGGGACATGAATTAATTAGGGATAGTCACAGCATGGACTTGTTGAGGAAAGGTCGTGGTCGAAAAACGTGATCAAATTTTGAGATGGTAACCAGAAGTGTTGATCAAGGTCATGCACTTGATGTCAGCTACATGAACTTTAGATAGGTTTTTGATAAGGTCGTACATGGCAGACTGGTCAAGAAAGTAAGAGCCCTGGGTTCCAAGGTAAAATGATACATTGAATACAAAATTGGCAGAGGGGCAGGAAGCAAAAGGTGATGGTAGCGGAATACTTCTGTGGCTGGAAGTCTGTTTCTAGTGGGGTGCCTCAGAGTTCAGTCCTGGGACCTCTGCTGTGCCTAGTGTACATTAGTGATTTGGACTTAACTGTAGAGATTATAATGCAGAAGCTCACAGCGGACATAAAAATTGATAGCGTGGTAAGTAGTGAGGGGGATTGATATCCTCCTGTGGTTACGGCAATGGATTGGTCAAGAAGACAGAGCAGTACAAATGGAATTCAGAACAGTGCAAAAATGCAGTCAGGAGAATTAACAAAGCAAGAGATTATACTATGAACGTTAGGACCCTCGAAGATACTGAAAGTAGAAGGGCAAGCAGCTAAGGTGGTCAAGGCAGCGTACAGGGTGCTTGATTTAATTAAATGAGGCACAGAATACAAAAGCAGTGAAGTTATGCTGGAACTATATAAAATGCTGGATGGGCAACAACTGGAATACTGGTTGTAGTTCTGGTCACCACATTATAGAAGAGATGTGACTGCACTGGAGAGGGTGCACAGAAGATGCTGCCCAGGCTGGTGTGTCAGAAATTCTGGTAACATTTAGGTAGTGTTCATACACACATTTGAGTTGATGGTCAAGTGCAGGAAAATGAGATTAGTGCAGTCAGATTTTTGTTGATCAGCACAAACATATGGGCTGAATAGCCTCATTCAGCACCGTGAACATCTACAAGTCAATGAATCACTTCAGTGAATGAGGCAGATGTACTTAGGAAAGGTTAGCCAATTTTGTTTTTCATATAGAATTTTCTTTGTTATGACTATGTGTTACAACAGTTTAAAATAAGAGCATTGACAAAGTTAACATGCCATAATGGAAGAAAACGCCTTCTGTATTTTGTAACGATAGGTTAATGATTTTATTAATCACGGACATCCAAGTTACTCCACCAATCAATTAAATGAAAACACTCAATTCATGAATTAATGTTCTTCTAGAGGAATATCCACAATTTAGTTAAAATTTCTAGTTTAAACATTGCATACACCATTGTAGTAATGTTACAAGAACTAAATACTACTAACCATCTTTCCAGATTCATTGCTTTGAGCTTCTCAGGGTCATTGATTGGAAACATTGTGGGACGGATCTGAGTCTGTTTATTCTCTGGCACTTCTGACCACTCTGCATACCAATGCCCTTCCCTTGTCATTACCTGACAAAGTTCACAATCAAAGAAATAAGCAATGCTTAAGTACATTTAAAATACACAATCTTTGTACCTTCACACTTCTTTCCATTCCCACCCTACCCCGCTGTGAGCCAAGATCAGCAATGTTTGTACTGCACCAGGGGAAAATGAAAGCAAGGCAAAACACAGCATGTAGAAAAGTGAGTGAAGACTCTAATTCTAATTCTAATTCAAATTCAATATTTTTCCAATGCTCTCCTTTCAGTTGTAAAATTACAAAGTTCCACACTTCTAGTTTTAACTGAAAAGAAGCTTCAATTGTATGTTGAAAGTTTTAAATGAATGATTCACAGCAGTTCTACATTTTAACAACCTGACAGTTTAGAGAATTTTGAACAGGGGAAAGGGTTGATGAGTTTCAGCACAAACAAATTACCTTCCATGATGTTAAGCCAGGCATTCGCTTCAACCCTGGCAACTCCGATGAAACATCAATTAATTCAAGAATTCCTACAACAAATTAGCATTTTGTCAACTGTTTTGGAGTGCAAAGTTTTATACCTCCTCCCTGCCCAGTCTCATAAAACAATTTATAGGATTCTCATTACTCTCAAACCAATAATGAGATATGCCAGTTTTCTGAAGACTTGTAAGTTCCTAACCTAAATTATAAATGAAATTTAACCGAAGATAAGTCTTCAGTAGTTAAAAGGTAACAAAACTTTGTCCTCTTAGGATTATTCTTTTTAAAATTACTGCAAAGTAGAAATCTTTTAAGGTATTCTCCGCAGCAAGTATTATAGGTTACATGTATTATCATATATTAAAAAAATGATTTCAAAATTTTATTTTGAACAAAATTGCTTTAATGCAAACATTCAACTTACTCACCTTCACTCTTCCCAAGAATAGTTGCTATTACAGCTTCATTTTCAATAGGGTTCAGAGAACAGGTGGAGTAAACCATTCTGCCCCCAACTGCTAACTGCTCGACACCACGGATGGCAATTCTTTGCTGTAAGCTTAGACATAACAGTTCATGAGACAAATAATTTGCTCTACAAAGTGCTTCCATAAATCAGAACTAAACAAAAAGCAAATAAATTATAATAGAACACAAAACAATGCTAGTTTTGGTAAGATCAGCTTCTATAATACAAACCAAATATTTGAGGAAAGAAGCCAGACACTAAAAAATCCTAAGACAATTGGTTGAGTCCAAAATGCATTTCCTGTACAGACACACGTTCACAATCTCAAAAATTTCAAAATAATTAATTTGTACTTATTAACTACGTACAAAAACTGATTTTCATTGCACCAGATAGTATCTGCACATCAATGACTGGGTCTTTCATAAAATCTGTTACAATAAAGACACGGCATCATACAGCACAGAAACTACAAGACAAACAGTAAAAGCTCATACCAAAGGCAGATTAAACAATCGTACAGCCGACAGATCATATCAATTCTTTTCAATGTCCAGTTTTGAATCATGGTGGACAATTAAACAACTAAACTGAGCAGGCAGCTTCACAAGTATCTCCACCCTCAACATGGGGGATGCATCAATGCAGAAGATGGAAGGATGTGCAACCACTTACAGCCACAGCCAGATGTGCTGAGTCAATGATCCATCTTGGTCTCCTCCTGAGGTAATCAGCATTACATGCCAGACTTCAGTCTTTCATGTGACATTACAAAAATAGTTGAATTCTGAATCAACAATTTGCTGTTTACAGCAAAATGTATGGGTATGAACAACATCCTGGCAGAAATACTATTCTCCAGAACTAGCTGTCCCTACCTGGGCTGTTCCAGCACAACTGCAACACCTGTATCTAGTAGACATTGTGGACAATAGACCAGATATACCCTGTCCATCAAAATATTCAAAATGTAATTCTGCCAGGTACTATTTGAGTCATCTCTTGATCACTGAAGTGAACGAAAGTGTCTTCATGTGGCATGTAGACAGCAATAACCTGCACACCCAACCGCATTTTGGATTCTGCAGGGGCCACAAAGCCCCGACCTCATTACAAATTTGGCTAAACATAGACAAAACAGCTCATTTTCAAAAGGTGGGCCACACTTAACATCAAGGTAGCAGGTGACCTACAGCAGCATCTAGGAGTCCTAGTAAAATTTAAGTGAATGGTAATCAGAGGGTAAACTCTCCAATGGCTGGAGTCAATTGTGGTACAAATGAAGAAAGTTGTTATTGTAGGAGGCCAATCAGACTGCAGGACACTGTCCTCAGGAACTCCTGCAGCAACATCCCAGGTGCAAACATCTTCAGGTGCTTTATCAATTAATGTCTCTCCATCATAAGGTCAGAAGTGGGATGTTCACTGGTGATTATACAATGCTCAGCACCATTCACGACACCTACTGAGGAGCAATGCAGCAAGATCTGAAGTATGCTAAAATAAGCCATTCAGCCCTGCTCTGCCATTCAATAAGATTGTAGCTTATTATTTAACTTAGTACTCTGTTCTCACTTTCTTCCCGGACCCTTTGATCTCTTCAGTCCTAAGAACTTTACCTATCTTCTTCTAAACATTCAATTTTTTGGCCTCAACTGCTTTTTGTGAGAGAGAGAATTACACAGGGTTATCACTACCTGGGTGAAGAAATTTCTCCCCATCTCAGTCCTAAATGGGGTACACAGCACCCTTAAACTGCTTTGTACCATCTACAAACTTGAAGGTATTATATTTAATTCCCTTACCTAAATGATTAATACATATTGTGAATAGCTATTGTCCTAGCACTGAATCCTACAGTACCCCATTGGTCAAGGGGAGGTGATGGCCTAGTGGTATTATCGCTGGACTGTTAATCCAGAGACCCAGACAATGTTCTGGGGACCTGGGTTCAAATCACGCCATGCAGATGGTGGAATTTAAGTTCAATAAATATCTGTAATTAACAGTCTAACGATGACCACGAATCCATTGTCAATTGTCAGGAAAAACCCATCTGGTTCACTAATGTCCTTTAGGGAGGGAAACTGCCATCCTTACCTGGGCTGGCCTACATGTGACATTAGACCCACAGCAATGTGGTTGACTCTGAACTGCCCTCTGGGCAAATAGGAATGGGCAATAAATGCTGCCTAGCCAGCAACGCCCTCATTCCATGAATGAATAAAGAAAAAATACTGCCTGCCACCTTGTTGTACGGTCCCTTTCAACACTGTAGGGATTCTGTGGACTATGGCAACTCTACTTTTGCTATTAAATCTTTTATAACGGATAATAGATAACTACTGGTCTTTGTATCAGCACGTACCATTCCATAATGGATTGCAAACAACTTCATAAGCCATTCTTTCATGATCATGGGGACAAATACCTGGTACTCCTTCCCAGAAAGAACAATTAACAGAAGTCACTTACATCAGGTAGACTGCTATGGCTTAAGATGATGACACTACTACCAAGTTCTCATGGGTAATTCGAGATGGACAACAAACACTGGTGTCACCAGCGACGCTTACATCCCATTAAAGAACAAAATATAAAAAAAGCGATATATAAATTATTTTGACTTCAATGTTTATGAAATGTCAAGAATAATTACGGTAAAGATAAGCTGACTACACAGAGACTAAAGGCAAGGAATACAAAGATAAAGTCATCATAGTCCTAATAAACCACAGGGCTGCTCTCTAGTTAAGAGAGAGATGCCACAGGAAGAGAAGAGGCTCAGAAGAAGAGTCCTTCATGGTAACCTCAGCCAGTGCAGGAATTGAACCCACGCTGTTGGCATCACTCTGCATTGCAAACCACCCTCCAGCCGACAGAGCAAACCGACTGTTTTCAGGGGACATAAAGTCCTCTATCAAAAGGAACATGCTGATAAATAGAGAAACATTTGTCATTTCTCCTAGATACTGGAATAGGGGACAAAGTTCTGCTTATCAGGAGGCCAGTTTTGCTGGACAGCAAGCAGAACTGTATAATATTGCACCTTTAACTGCAGCCCCAGTACTGACCACTGTGGAACTCCATATATCACTGGATTTCACCAAAATGCCTTTTGCATACCACCACTCTACTAAATAACCATCTACATCATTGGTCTATTCTCAGTTAATTACTTGGGTTAACATTAAACAGCTTCTGAAATCCTAATCTCCAGCACCTCATCCTTTCTATGCAGATCACAAACTAGGAACAGAAGTAGGCAATTCAGTCCCTTAAGACTGCTCCACAATTCAATAAGATTATGGCTGATCTGTTGCACATCCAATTCCACATTCCATCTCCAATAACCTTTGAGTCCCTCAACTGAAACTTTGGACAGCACGGTGGCTCAGTGGCACTGCTGCCTCACAGAGCCAGGGACCCGGGTTCGATTCTGGCCTTGGGGGATTCTGTGCAAACTCCGCAAAGATTCTCCCCATATCTGCGTGGGTTTCCTCCAGATGCTTTGGTTTCCTCTCAGTCCACAGATGTGCAGGTTAGGTGGACTGACCATGCTAAATTGCCCATAGTGTCTAGGGTGGGAGATACAGAGATAGAGTAGGGGGTGGGACTGGGTGGGATGCTCTTTTGAGGGTCGGTGTGGACTCAATGGGCTGAATAGCCTGCTTCCACACTACAGGGTTTCTATGATTCTACGAATCGACCTCTGCTTTGAAAATATTAGATGACTCCACCTCCAGCACCTTCTGAGCGTGTTGCAAACTGGCAGAACAAAAAACTCTTATCTCTATTCAAAAAGGCCAACTCCTAATTTTAAAACAGCGCCCCGTTTCCATCCTGAGAGGAGCGAACATTCTTTCCACATTATTCCACATAAATCAGTCATCTTACGTGCCACTGTTAACCAAATATCAATGCTCATACTAACAAAAGACTTATTCCTTGAGAAATAAATAGAGAAAACAAGATGATGTCCTCAACTTAGAAGCTTTAACAGTCTTACCCATGCAACTGGAGGCTGTTGCTGGTTGTCCACTTCTTCCACACATCAATATTCTTTCTCAAGGTTGCATCACCACTATAATCGTAAAAAAAGCACATTCTCAAAATTTGAAAAGACAAGTTAACAGACAGACATTGTACAGGCTGTTCAAATTCAATGACTATACTTTCACGTCACCGAATTTCCCCTTGCAGGACAGGCTAGTGCCATGAAATAAATATACACAGTCCTTGGGTTGCAAACAGGTTCTGTTCTGAAGTGTGCTCGCAAGTCGACTTGTATACAAGTCAGAACACGATGCAGGACAATATAAAATGTTCATAATACAAGAGATGCTCAAGTTGGAGGTTTAAAATGATAGCCCTGGACGAACGTTCTTAATTCGGGGCACCCCAAACATCAATTGACTGGATGCTGCAGCTCAATGAAAAACAAAGCCTCATGCAAACTGTTCTGCACTACAGGAAGCTCACGCCTGGCAGCAAATTCCATGACAAAAATCCCTGATAAAGGAATCTCTCACTAGTCCCTTTCCGACTAAGTACTAAATTCAGCACTTTAAGCAGTCAAATGGTAAAAGTTCAAAATTCGGTGTCTGGTACAGATTAAATGGCTTTTCTTGACAGAATTCCACATTTAAGGAATACAATGGCACAGCTCGAAAGATTGGCTCAAAATAGAGAAATTCACCATTGATTACATTATATCTAGGGAGACAAAGCAAAGGTCAAGATATATTCTCTATAAGAGGAGAAAAAATCTTGGCTACTTTTACACAACTTTTCAACTACATTAAAGCATATCTGAAAGAAACTATAAATACACATTTTGAATATATAGACAGAGAAACAACTGGATTTTAACCTCCCTTAAAATGCTTATTTCTGAGATTTTACTTTTGTTCATCTCCTTCAAAACAATGAACCCAAATTACCTACAACAGGCCATTTAAGTAGATCCTTAATGTTTTGTATAACTAATTATTTCTCAGAAGCACTACAGTCATATTAGCATACACCAAATGCTCACAAAATTTTAAACTTTAAGTAACCTTACATTTACTGGTTCACCTTCAGAGTTTTATAACGCTTACTTCCAATTATGAAGCATAACTAAAAGGGCAAACTAGAGACACACAAAATGCAGAGAATTACATTTCTTCTTTGTAATAATGAAGGAGATAAGTGCAATATGTAGATGAGGATTTTGAAGAGGAAATTATCAAATTACCATGAGTCAGTATGGAAATTTCTAATTGTGAAAGGAATGCAGCCAGCTGTAGGATATTAAGCTGTAAATAAAAGGAAGTTCTGCTACCAAATAAAAAGATAGTAACACATTTATGGCATTCACACCACTGTACCTGCATGGTACATCGCACAAAATCCTGTCATAGAAGAGAATGTTCCTTTGACCATCAGCGTCCGCCATCTGTAATCCTGGTATATTCGATGCATCATGATTCACCACCATAATACAAGGGCTATGCAAGCGCTTTGACTGATGAACCAATAGGTAACACCGCTTGTTGTCAACGTCATTAGCAATTACAAAACCCTCTTATAAAACAAAGAAACAAAATATTAGTATCAAATTCCACGATTGAAATGGACAGCAGAACAAAATACATGAAATAGGTTGTGTGATCATGCAGAACTTGAGTATTGCTGAATAAATACATTCTGCCAAAGCACTCAACAGAACAATTCACATAACTACTAATTTAAGGGGAAACATTTATACTGTATGAGAGGAGTGCGCTGATTGGTTGGCAAGTTCCATGGAAAATACATCAGTTAACGTTGACTGAGAGTTAATGGTCTGGTTTTGTTTGCATTTTAAGTCAGGCAGATTGATTCAAATTTTTAAGGGCAATTTCTTGACCAATGCTCACTTTTAAAGAATGCTACAGTTAAGGCAAAACATTTTGCCTCACACACAGTAGTAATATCATAGATGAATTTCAGTACCGGTACAATACCGAATAAAAACTGTAAAAATTGCAGATTCTATAAATCAGAAACAAAAACAGAAATTGCTGGAAAAGCTCAGCAAGCCTGGCAGCCTCAGAAAGAACAGTCACTGGACCAGAAACGTTAACAGATTTCTCTTCGCAGACACTACCAGACTTGCTGAGCTTTTCCAGTGACTTCTGTTTTTGTTTCTGGTATGATACCAAATAGATAGGCCACATGTTCCGAAGACTGGCAGATCAAATCAAACAGCTTACAGGAACAGTCCTTCAAACCTGTTCTGCCATTCAATGAGGTCATGGCTGATCTGTGGCGTAACTCCATATTCCTGACTTTGGCCTATATTCCTTAATATCTTTGCTTAACAAAAGTTTATCAATCTCGGATTTAAAATTAATAATTGATCTAGCATCCACTGCCATTTATGGAACAACATTTAAACATCTACCACCCTCTGTGTATAATGTCCTTCCTAACATCTCTTCTGAATGGTCTGACCCTAATTTTTAGGTTATGACCCCAAGTTCAAAAATCCTCATCAGTGGAAATAGTTGATCTTTATCTACTGTCTTTTCTTGTTAATATCTTGAAGGCTTCGATCAGATCACCCCTTAACCTTCTAAATTCTAAAGAAAACAGGCCTAACTTGTGTAATCTCTTCTCATAACATAATGCCTGAAGTCCAAATATCATTCTTGTAAAGCTACATTGTACTCCGTCCAAAGCCAATATATCCTTCCTAAATTGTGGTGCCTGGATCTTCTCACAGCATTCAAAGTAGTCTCCAACCAGGATTTTGTACAACTCTTCAACTATTCGCAGCAAACAAGATATTGACCACAACCAACCAGCACACAGATGCAAAATTCACAATAAAGTCTCCAGCTTCAGATGTGATTCTGTAATAGGACAGCATTTACTGAATAATCCCAATTATGTAAAGAAATACGCTGACAACTAATTCAGGATTGCCAGTATGGTATACTTGTATGTACTGGATGCTAAATGTATTAACACACATGGCCTGACTTTTTGCTTACAGATGTACATGTCGCACCTGCTACAACTTAAACAGATAACAGCCATTAGTTGTTCAATCAGAATCAACCTGCCTGGTTTAAAATGTAACCCAAACCTAGCCGCTGTCATTCACCAATATCATTCATGTGTGCATTTTCCATGGAAACACCTCTACCAGAGTACACATGCCAATCAGTACTCTCCTTTCATACAATATGAAATTATGGTTTTCCCTTTCATTCACATCCTTGAGAAACGTACTGAGTACAAAACGTTAACAGAGTGTCCTTTACAGCAATACTTGAACTTCTCCCTTCCGCCACCCAAAGAGGACTCAAATCGCAGTTGAATAATCCTTAATAAACGGCTCTTAGTTCACTTTTTTACATTCCATATCCCATCCCTTTTACTGTCTTCATACACTGCTTGTAATATTAGTCTAGAAACAAAAAGGAAATTGACTTCAGCTTCATCTAGTGCAACATGAGATAGAAGACTGTGACGTTGAAACAAACAAATAAAAGTAGCATTCTTTTTGCATTTATAACTCTTACTATAATCACTACTACGGGGATACCCCTATATGACAAACTGTGGCAGAAATCATTAACAGAATTAGGGTGTACCCTTGAATCAAATAAGACAAAATTACAACTCATGGACTCTGCTCAATTGTTTGCCTTCTCAACAATGGCAAAGTTGATCTCCAACTTCCCAGAAAAATAAATCAGATCTCAAATTCAATTTACTTTGTCTACAACTTAAATCTGTTCCTAAGTGTATTATCTGACTTATTATAAGACATGGTGATCAGTAAATGATTACAAATACAGCGTGCATATGCTCAGCAGTAATCTTTCCTATCTGCATCTTCAACTCACCACTTCTCCATCTGAATAATGAATAAAAACGGTAATATTCTTAATAGACTGAACATTAAAATTTAAACAGTTTTAGCAATAGCATCAAGCTGGAACATGCTTCTGGCAATATGCAAAGAGCAGATGAAGCCTCCCACTTGTCATTAATAATAATTGTTGCTCAAAACCAATTTACATTCAACACTTCTTTGCAAAAACAATAAGCAATGATGACAGAAATCTTAAGTTACATTTTGCAAGAAATAAGGAAGGACAATATATTAATAATTTCAATTAGACCAAATAAAATCAGGAAGAGAATTCAACTAAGAATAATGAATGTTTGCCTTCTAGTTTTGCACAGTTGCATTAGTAGTAAACTTTTAAGTGCATAAAATGGAAAAAAAAAAAGAGAGAAATAAAGTGCATTAAAAATGCACATCAGTTTGTGTATAAACTTCTAAAAACAAAAGAGAAGACAGGGTCAGAAAACTTAACACTGTAACAAATAGTATTTTACATCTGGTTGCCTTTTTGTCCATTGCTTTATAATTCAACATATTAGTACAGCAATTTCAGAGGGACATTTGAAATAATAGAGACCTTGACACTGTAGAGTTTGAATGCCCTCCCATCAGAAAAAAAAAATTACCTGGGAAAGCAACATTCATGTCAGAATGCAGCATCTCAATCAGCTGAGCAGTCTTTGATCCGGGTGCTGCACACATATCGAGAATCTAACAAGGGACAACTTTGACTTGTTCACTCAATTTACATCATAATTCAACTTCAAGGATACAAACACATAAATAGTATACAATAATAAAATCCAACAATTTAAATTTTGAAAGGCCAAACACTTCAAATGGAGAATTAAATATTCATTGATAGCATTTCAATTGTTTTACCTGCGAAAGAAATACTATTATTAGTTTGAAAATTGCATTAAGTTAGGAAGAATCATGTCAAAATAATCTCTGAATAGACTGGACTGAAAACAAAAGGGCTCAAAACATTTAGGTTCACGAATCACAAACTGCCCAAGGATTATACTTTTGCACTTCACTCATGCATGTAGTTTAAAGTCACTGATTAGGTGTGAAAAAGCCAAATGTTGCTTTACAGCAATAGATTTTGAAGATGGAATTTTACAACTTGCCCAATTTTCACAAAAATCATAAATCACAAACTAAATCATTTCCATTCTAAGGAAATGCATAAATTACATCTTGATGACCACATCATTACAGAACAAATAAGATTACAGAGAAGTTTACAAACAGGAGGTTTAAGATCTGTTCTTTCCAACTCTAAGCAACAGCCACCACCTCTAACCTTAATCTCCCACATTTTGATTATTATACAGCTTTGTCCCTAAGCATTTTGCACATCTCCTTTACAGCTAAAAATTTGCTCTTTCGCACTAAATAGTTCTCACTTCGATTCCTCCAAAGCCTATATAAAGTGCAAATTTTTTTTTATAAACTTAAGATCTGCTTTCACATCTGGGGAGGCTGCTCTTGCAACCGCTGCACATGCACACTAAAAAAAACATTAATGGGTATGACTCCAATTTCTCTAACCCTACTTTGGTCAATGCTATTTGAATTTTTCTCCTGGATTCCTCCATCTTTCAATTATGGACAGTTCCACATATCAGACATCACAGATGACTTGCAACCCAAACTTTCTGCATACAAGTCCAGTATGTAAAATGGTGAAACTAAAAATAATTAGATAATTTGCACACCAGCATCAATAAACAAAACAGACAAGTCTGCAAGTTGTTCAAGTATTGCAAGAAGCCAGCTGGCACACTAATATACTGCATAGAGAAGCAATTATTTGGCTTTACCTCAATGCAACTTCAGGAAACACTACATGGCTATCTCAATGCTTGATGAGCTTTACAAGCCTTTAGTAGAATAATTACTTTTGCTTTATAGAGAATCTACTTTCAAAGGCACTGCTCATTTTCGTGGAATCATATTAGCTTATTCAAAGTACAAACTGGTCCACAGCTTCCGGTAACAGAAATGAACTAGGCTACAAAGCTACTCCATGCAAACTCAACTAACATACTATAGTACATTTCAGTGCCTCAGTACTGTACTGCACTGCCATTTTGCTATTGACATTGTTAAGTAACTTTGGGTCAGTGCCTCAAAAGCCACAGCACAACTGCACCCTCTAGTGATTTTCAATTTATTTTGAAATACTGGCTTCAGATGAGTTATCTAACTTATTTTTGTACTACTCTGCATTGAATTGTTGTTCCTATATTAGAAGTATCTATTGTACCTTATGATGTGCCTTAATATCAAGCAGCAAAGGAGGAATCATACTGACAGCTTCCTGGCGACTGATGTTCCCCTAGAAAAAGCAGAGAAAAATTATACAACTGAAAGTATGTTCTAGCCCCAAAGCAGTACAATTCAAAATAAATGAAATGGCCCACAATTCAAACAATTGAAGACTAACTGATAAAGTATTTATCAGGATTAATTTGGACATGGCATGTTTTTACTTACCCTATATGCACATTTAATTTTGTAATTTTATGAAATCATAAATCTTACAAAGAAGGTAGCAATTGACCCCATCATGTCTTTACCAGTTCTTTAAAATAGCTGTCTAAACATATTCCCTACACCTCAGTTTGTGACCGAGACACATTTAATTATATTTCCAATTGCTTTGTAAAATTTTCTATGGAAAGTGATTCATTGCAATTTCAGGTAGAATGTTATAGATTTTGACAACTCTGTGTAAAGAAATTTTTCCATATTCTCTAGTCCACTGGCATTTTTGTCTAATATCTATGACATTTGGTTACTGACCTATTCTCCAAAGCAAACAGTTTTTTTTTCCCCTATTTGCTCTATCACAATCCTTCATAATTTGCATTTCTCTCAAGGCCATATTTTATCGTCTCTGCTATTTCATCAATAACTTGTGCTTATTGTATTACACATAAATGCAACAGTGTGCACAATGGTGGCTCACAAAATTGTCACAAAACAAAATTCGACACAAGCTACACACAGAAATATAAAGACAACTTGCACCTGACAGACAGCTATCATGGTGCAAAGATTGAAACTGATGATGCTGGAGGGACCAGAACTAACTGAATGGCTACAGAGATAGGCAGAGGCAAAACCATGTAGAGAAATCAAAATAAAGATTAAAAAAATTTAAAACAGAGATGGTGTTTAACCAGAAGACTATGCAGGTAAGAAGGCAGAGTGTTGATGGGTGAATGGACTTACTCAAATCAGGACAGGAGCAGAATTTTGGATGACCTCATGTTTAAGGAGGGTTGAGCATGGGAGGCCAGCCAAGTGTGCTGGAGCCTAGAGGTTACTAAGACACGGATGAAATAGGGTCAATCTCAGCTTCTCCAAATCTCTCAAATTACCTGAAGTCCCTTATCATTGGTGTCATGCTGGTAGACTCCCCTGTATCCTACTCCTGAAATGTGGCCTCCAGTATTGTACTCAATACTCTAGCCAAAGCTTAACTAAATATTTGCAACAGGTTAATGGGCTTCCTTGCTTTTGTAATCAATACCCACTATTTATAAAGCCAACTATTATATACTTATTTGCTATTTTTTTAGTTATTTTCAGCAAAAGGGAAGTTTAACAAAGACAATGTATTGTTGCATCTGTTGCAGGTATAACTGTATTCTGAATTCCTACATTTGTGACATTAATTAATTTAAGCCATCTTCAAAGGGCATTTTATAAACTACCTCCTAACAGTCTGATTCAGGAAATGAATGTGCAAGATGTTCAAAAGACAATGGTAACTCGGGAACAAAATTTGTTTAGGAATTAGAGGCAAAGTGGAGTGGTGACTAGATGCTTTTCTGAATGTAGGGAAAATGTAGACGGTATCCTATATGCTTTCTTAACTGTATTTTCAACTTGCCCTGCACTTCCTAGGTCCCACTGATCATTTTAGGTTAATTGCTCCCTATATTATTTTTCCCAAGTGCATTACTTGGTAAACATTTAATTGCATCTGCAAAGTGCCTTTCCACCTTACCCATGTCCTCCTGAAGTCTTCCATTAACATGCTCATACTTTACTGGGTTGCCAATTTTTGTATCATTTGTAAACCTTGAAATTGTTCTTCCTTTACCCAAATGCAGGTCTTTATATATAATGTACAGAGAAAATCAATAGTTCCAATACAAGTTCTGGGTAACCATACTGCATGTTTCTGTACATCTCTTCCCTCCCTTTCATTTCAAAGGAATGAAGAAGAGCAAATAAATAGTCAAAGCAGTAACAGAGCAATTGCAAAGAAGAGGAGATCTGAAATTTGAGTTTATGCTGTATTAGGTTCAAGATCTTTTGGACAGTACAGATTTAAGTGCAAAATTACCAATATTACCTCATTTGATTTAGGGTTTCTGCATATCAAAAAATGCAATAAACATAATAGCAATTTAATTTTGTTTCAGAGATAGTAGGAACTGCAGGTGCTGGAGAATCTGAGA